AATTTAAAACAAAATTAAATAAACATTATGTTAAAGTTTATACGAGATTTTATTTATTTTTTAAATTATTTTTAGCCAACAATAATGTGCAAATTAATGAACTGGGCTCTGGTCCGTGGTTACGTTTGTGTAATTTATGGATAACAACAATTTCAATTTATATTATACCTTACTTTACTCAACAATTTCCACTTGAATAATTACATGTTAATAATTTAGTAATCATTAATATTTCTTCGACCAAAATTTCTCTAAAGTTTAAATAACATTATTGTTTCGCAAGAAAAACGAAATCGAATGGAAATAATATAATTTTTAATACTAACAACAATTTAATTTGAGTAGAAGAGATTTCAATCAAATTCCGTCACAGTTTGTAAATTTAATAAACAATTTTAAGCTAATGAAAAATTAACTAAAAGAGCAAATCTCTGATAATTTTAATAAGATTTCAAAAAATCACTGAATTTTTTTCATTCTATTCAACTAAAGTTCTCTATATAGAAAACTAAAATGAACATTTATTCCAAGAACGCATTTTTCACTCAAGAAGTTTTTGCTATAACTAAATCTTGACACCCAAGTCGAATTCGAGGAATGAAACAGCTTAACAATAATATAACAATAACAAAGTAGATCCTGATTGATAAAAGTTGACCCGAAGTATGTATTGCATATATGATGAGCCAAAGAAATGCGACAAGACTAGTGCTACTTCATTGAGAGACAATATTGAAAATTTAATTCGAAAATAGAATATTATTTTGCTCAGATACCAAAAATATTAAATTTGAATTTGTGTCACAAACACTAGAAAAGGGCATTCGTAATAAAAATGTTATAGTAAATAGATTACAAATGAGCAAAAATCTGTTTGCTTGACAAAATATAAAGAAAAAATTATAGATATACGACTGCAATACACTTTAAGTTTTCTTTTTATTAATATGCGTGGAATCTTCATTATCATTTCTTCATCGTCATCTATTAAAGGTCATGTCTTGTCATCGAAGCCATTCCTCTCTGTTTGACGTCAAATTCTTCAGCGAAACAAAAGATGCACAGTTCATGAGTTCCAAGATATGTTCAAAATATTGTTTCCTTGGGCAACAAAAATATCATTTCTTGTAGTATTTTAATTATTTTAAAAAATGCACATTGATGAAATTTTAGAATCTAGTATTTCAAAATCGACACCGTAAAATTAATTCCTGTTCAACTTTTAAATTTAATACATTAGCGCTTTTTAAAACAATTACTTATACTTGGAACTATTTTAATCATTGTTATTTTAAATTAGTGAAAAAAGAGAACTTTTAATAGTTTGTTTTGAACTCATTTCCTAAATTATATTCAAACACACATCACCTGTCCTCTCATTAATTCTCCCTTATTAAAGTATAAATAAAAATAATCTCGATCATGAGTTTTTTTTTATTATTAATTAGTATATAATGTTGTTGAAGAATGTGTAACATGGTATTGATCATTTTTTATAAATAGAATTACTATAAAATAATTTTTTTCCAAACAACTATACAATTAATCCACGCCAAGTTAATTTTATGATGTACTATCGAGTGCATTAAAATTATTTTTATATTCAAAGAGAATTATGCGATTGTGTTTTAGTATCATATTAAGAATAAACGATCAAATTAACATACAATGTTTTTCATTTAAATCGTTGCATTATCATAATGTAAGCAGGAGAAAGCTCATATAGGTCGATGCCGGTCGCTCTTATTTAAATTGCATGAACGTCCAATGTGTTTGCCAGTATTGTTTCTTGTAGATTTCAGCCATTACTCAATAAGAACTATAGAATGCATAAAAGTAATGCGTGGGTGTGCATATTATTACTCTTTTGTCGCACAAGGATAAAGGTTATAAATGGAAGCCACTTAAACATCACCGCCGGACTAGGTGTTAGGATTATTGTCGGTGTTCAGAATGACCAAAAAAAAAAACAGTAACGAATATTTAACCTCTTTTTTTTTGTATAACACGAACTGCCGACGCAGTTTTCTGATTGAAGACTAAAACACCCCGGGAAGCCGCAAAGTAGCAATAAAAAAATATAACAATAATAATGAAAAAACTAAATCAGGCGAGAAATCTGGGCAGTACCACTGGTTAATATATAGAACCCGGAGAGAATAATATTTCTATTGTAATTTAGAAAAGTTCTCTACGATGATCGATACAACGCGTAGAATCTGGCAACCAAGACTTATGTAGTGGGCGACATGAAAAAATATTTATATATATATATATATATATTTATGTACGCATAATAAACTTGTTCAAAGAAAAAGTATCAAGATGTAATAACAACAAACAGTTGTAAAATGTAAGCAACGACGGAATAATATTATATACTTGAAAATTGAAACGTTAAAAAATATAATCCGACAGGAACAAAAATAAAAAAAATTGTTAACATTAGAACTTGATTCTTGGTAAAACGAAAAAAATATACAAAAAGTACGATTGTACATTTGTAACTCGCAATTTGCTTTTCTTTTTTTTAAGTGTAATAAATTTCAAAGTGATATTCTATAAATATTGTAGAAACTTAAGCAATAATAAACTGTTATTGCTTTGTAATAATAATAATAATAATAATATCCGAACGTTTGCAGCGTAAAAAATGAAAGCTAAAATGAGAGATGAAAAAAAACGATCTCCTAGAATGGCGTTTTAATCATTTTTCTTATTAATTGCTTGTTCGTCCCGTGCAGCAGCTTGCCCTACAGCTAATGGAACGTCCCACGTGACTATCGACCGGCGCGCGCCGGGGACGAAAAAAGATAGGACCCTCGAGAGACCGCTCGTCTTTGATTTTCGGTCAACGTTATTAGTGTGGAGCGGGCAACACACCACCGAAGCAACGCATGACGTGTACGGCGTTGAAAATGTTACAAAATATGTTTGCGCACAACGTTAAATATAAATTAACGCAAACTACTAATCAATTCAATTAACCGCGACTGTAAACACGTTTCGAGCAATACACGGCGTTTTATGTGCTCAGTTACCAGCGTTGTAATATTACGTGTTGTTATTGAAACACAAAAGCGACACATCAAAGGAACCGCGCGGGCCGGAAAGCAAACCGATGACGTTATTGTCGGTGTACTGTTGTGTTTCGGGGGGG